TTCCCCCAACCTTGACCACCACCAATCCCCCAGGCACTGTGTGACCCTGCCTTTTTTGGTGTTTTCCCCATGAATGTAAAAAAATTTAATGTAATACAAACACATAATTTGGAAGCATTTTTAAAATACAAAAAAAACAGGCAGAATATTGTATAAACATAAAAGGCAAAAAATAAAGAAAAATACATACAACGCAGTCAAAAAGTTTTCCCATATTAAACCCAAATAAGGCCCCCTCTATTGAATTTCTCACACAAACCCATTTAAATTGGCAAAAACACTTTTTTTTGGGCAAAAATTTAAATTTAATCCAGGTACCCCATTTTTTCCCAATTTTTGGCTTACAGAATTAGGGTGGGCAAAAAGCAAACTTTTTTTTCCCAAAAAAACGCCCCCGGGCTCTTTCCCCATCTAAATTACAAAAAATATATAAAAAGGGGATAACAACGGAAAAATATCTGAAAAATCAACAATACGTTTTCGACGCTAAAACAAAATCGGTACCAGGGGGTGCTTTTAAACCCGTTTATTTTTGAACAATTTTAGGCTTTCCCATCCCCTGGGGTCCAGTCCCAACCATGTAAACTTTTGGCAGCCCTAAACTCTAAACCTTTGGGACATTGATATTACATCTTTAATAAAGGGGGTTTTGGATTTTTTTTTTTTTTTTTTTTAGTTCCCAGGGGAAAACACAGAAAAGCCCATAGCGTTAAATCATATATCTGACCCAAAAATAAAACCAAAAAAAAAATTATAAAAAAATTTTAAAAAACAACAATTAAATTTAAACACTGTCCCAGTTTTCCCCACACTGACCCCAAAAAAAAAATCATTTACTAAAGAAAAAAAAAGTATGAAAATACTGGGAAAGGGGGCAAATATGAAGGTGTGAAATTCACCAGTTTGTGGTTGCAGGGGTTGATTCTAAACCCCCGGGCCCTTTCCCCTGTGTGTGTAAAAAAGGGAAAAGGCGGGTGGGGGGGATGGGTAAGGACCCGAGAGAAAATAAGGAGAGGAGACAGAGAGGGGGGGGGGATGTTAGAGTGGCATGAGAGAGAACATGAAGTGAGAGAAAGACAGAGATGGGGGGGGATGTGTAAAATGAGAAAGAGAGAGAAAAAGATAGTGAAGAAAAACCCCAAGAGATGGGGGGGATGTTTTAAGTGAGCATGAGAGAGAACAGATATTTGGAGAGAAAAGGAGACGGGGGGGGGGATGTGAAAGATTGAGAAAGAGGGGGAGAACATATATGAGAAGAGAGACAGAGACGGGGGGGAAGTGTAAAGTGAGCTTTAGAAAAAACATGATAGTGAAGAGAGAACAAAGACAGGTTTTTTTTTTCTTTAGTTTGCTGGCGGGGTATGAGTACCCATGGCAGATTAGCAGAGAAAGGGTTGAGCCTCCATTAAAAGTTTGGGAATGAATGACCCACATGGGTTTTTAAAAAAAACCCCATTCCCAAAGTAAACAGGAAAAAATAAAAGACCACAGCAAGTGATGTGCCTTTGGGCTCTTTTAAAAACCCAAAAAATTTAAACAAGGCCCCCTAAAACACAAAACCCAAAGGGGGGGTGCATCAGCCCCCCCAAACACAGACCAAGGGGTGGTTTCTAGGGGAGAAAGGGGGGAAAAACCCCCCAAAAAAAAAATTATGGGTTCCCAAAAAAAAATTCAGGGACCCAAAAAGGGGTTGTTTTTAACCAAAGGGGAAAGCGTAAAGACCCTTTTTGGTAAAAAGGGCACAGCCCAACCAAGTGGGGAAAATTTAAAAATTTCAACCCGAAAATAAGCCCCCAATACACTTTTGCAGGGCCCACCCTTCCCCTAAAGGTCCCCAAAACACCCCTTTGTAATTCCCCAAGGGGTTGGGGGGGGTTTTAAGGGAAGTTAAAAAAAATTTTAAGGGAAAGGGGAAAAAATTAAAAAAAAAAAAGAAAGCCAAAAGTTGGAAGCAGGCCCAAAAGGGGGGGGTTAAAAACTCCAAAAGCCACCAAAAAATTAAAATTTTCTATTAAAAAAAAAAATTAATAAAAAAAAACTCCAAAAAATTTAAAAATTTAAACAAAACAAAAGGAATCTAAAATTTTGAATTTCACAAATGTTTTTTTCCAAATAAAAATTTTTAAAAAACCCCCCCGGGGGTAAACAACAATAAATTGGAAAACAAAAATTCCCCCCCCCCCGGGAAAAAAAAAAAATTGAGGGGGGGGGGCGGGAAAATGGTTAAAAGGAAAATATTGTTTGGGGCCCAATTGGCCCCCTTTTAACGCCTTGTGTTTTGGGGGAACGGGGGAAAACCCTTTTTTTTGGGCTTTTAGGCTTTAACCCCAGCATAAATGTTGCTGTCAAACTCCTTAACTCTCTGTCCGAACCTGACATTTCTTCTGGCTTTAACCCCAGCATAAATTTTTCTGTCCAAAGCCCTTAACTCTCTGTCTGAACCGACTATTTTTTTCTGGCTTTGAACCCCCGCCTAAAAGTTGTCTTTTTAAAGCTCCCTTTAAAAACCTGTCTTTAACCTGACTATTTTTTCTGGCTTTTACCCCACATAAAGTTTTGTCAATGCTCCTGAACCTCTGTCTGAACCTGAAAAATTCTTCTGGGTTTGAAACCCCCGCAAAAAATGTTTTCTGTCAATGCTCCTTTAAATCTCCTGTCTAACCTGACTATTTCCCTTTTGGCTTTTAAACCCCCGCCCAAAAAAAACTGTCCCAAAGCTCCCCTTCTCTCTGTCTGAACCTGACATTTCTCTGGCTTTGGGCCCCAGATAAAAGTTGTTTTTTCAATGCTCCTTAACCCCCCTTCCCCAACCTGACTATTTCTTCTGGCTTTAACCCCAGCATAAAGTCTGTTTAATGCTCCATAACTCTCTGTCGAACCTTTCCCATTTCTTTTGGCTTTGACTCCAGCATAAATGTTGCTTTTCAATGCCCCCTTAACCCCTCCCCGTCTGAACCTGGGCTATTTCTTTTTGGCTTTTAAACCCCCGCATAAATTTGGAGGGCACGACAGATTTTATGCCCCAGCATTCCCCAAATGTATAAAAATTTTTTACCCTTTAAAGTTCTGGGGCCCGAAGAACTATCATGAAGGGATACAATGCCTTTCAATTTTACATATTAAGATTTCTGCTCAAATTTTTTACCCTAAAAGTTTTTGGAAAAGTAAGTTTTATTTAATTTTAAATATAAACATTACTTCAACACAATCCAAATCAATTTTATTAATTTTCAAAAATTGGTTTTTTTTGAAGATGGAAAATGTCAGCCATATTCCCCCACACTGTTTCAAACCCACCCCGTAAACCCATAAATTTTTTCCCCCTGCAACTTTTCTGTCCCTCAAAGTTACTTTTTGCAAAAGCATTTATGTATGGCATAAAAAATAAGTAAACCCCAAAAAATAAGGGAAAATAATTTTTTTTTTCCTAATGGCCCGGGTATAATTTATCAAAGAGATCAAATTTCTAAAATTTTGAAAGTTAAGGATAAATAACAAAAAAAGGCACAATAAAACCGGGGACCGGGAAAGATACACAAATTTAAAAACCCCCATAAAAAGAAAAGCTTACGGCCACTTTCGGACCAAACGTCGCGAAAACACCTCTCCCTTTTAGTGCAGGGTTTTTTGTGTTAGATTATAAGTTCACTCGTGAAATCGTAATAACACAATTGCAAAAAACCAGAGTGGGCAGAAATCAAAATAATGACAGGTGACCCCCCCCTTTTTTGTTTAAAATTTTTCCCCTTCAATTTGGATCAAACAAAATTTATGAACAGTAAAAAAAAAACTAAATAATGGTTCCCATCAAACTTTTGCAACCCCTTTAAAAAAAAAAAAAAAGAAACCCAAATTTAACTAATTTTAAAATTTTTTTTTGGCGGAGCGTACCTCACTGAGTTTGGGGGAGTTTTAAACACCCACTGCATCACACTACATAACATACTTCCAATCAATTTCAAAACAAAAAATAAAAAATTAAAAACCAAACCCAAAATTAAAAAAACATTCTGACGAATTTAGCACAGCAAAAATTTAAGGAAAAAAATTTAATTTAGCAGAAACAAATTTCCTCAAATAAAAAAGACATTTTACAATTCTATATCCAAATTGCGAACAAATACTTGTAACAAATATATAACCCAAAGGGTTTTTTTTTTAATTTTTTTTTTTTAAAAATAAAAAATTAAAAGAATACAATTTTTTTAGAAAAGAGAGCGTTTACAATAAAATTCAAAAGCCTTTTCACAGAGCTTACAAAATAAAAAGATAAAGAGGACTCTAAACCATACAGATTTCTTTACTTCTAGATTTAAAATCTTATAATAACCACAAACATTTTTAATTTAAATTTTTAGTATTTGGGTTTTCCGCACCTGCTTTTTTCTGTGATAATTTTTAAAATTAAAAAAGTTTAATTTTAAACCCAAAAAATAAGCCATTTAAAATTTTCTACAAAATTCACATATTAAAGAATTCAATGCTACTAAAAAAGCCAAAAAATATCCTGGTTTTAAATTTTAAAATTAATTTAAAAACTGTTAGTTTTAGTATAATTTTTTTAAAAATTTTAGATCCCCAATTTCTCCAAAAAGGGAGCACACCAATCTGCTGTATTAGTTGTTAAAATATCTCTTATTTTCTTCACTTTAGTATCTTTTAGATTTTGGCAAAAGAACAATTTTACTTTCAAAAACTTTCTTTTAAGTAAATAGGCCCCTCTATAAAACCATCTAAAAGTACAGTTTTTTTTTAAAAAGAGACTGGGAAAAAATAAAAGTGAAAAAATGAAAAAGGGAGTGGAAAGGGGCCGGGCCCTTTATAGGTCATGACATTCAATTCTGGATTTACTTTTTCAATAGCATTTACAAAAATAACAATACTTAGTGGCGCAGTATAAGAGAGCTTTACATTATTCATCTGGGGGTTGAACCAAGTCGGTAAACTACAAGGACTAATGTCACACTATATTCACATTGAATTAACACATTTTTGCACAGGTAATTCCACACGCTGCTGCCCAATATGAACCATCAGAATGGATCTTCTCAGAAGACCGCTTTAAGAAGAGGCTTCCTACCCATACCATCACCACACCACAGAACAAGGGGAAAGGATTTGCAGATTTCATCAAACTATACACTTATGAGACTCGTTTTCACACACAAACATCTTTACCTACTACAAGGAACTTTGACAGTAATTTTAGAAACTACCAAATGACTTAGGCATTGTCAACTTGTAATGGTAAAGACATTTTGAAAAGTGAACTAGATAATGAAATATTTAAACTGTTAGAGTGCCTGATTTATACATTATCTTATATATTTTTGTCAGAAAAGACTGCAGGTATCTGAGATATGAAAGCCTCCTCCTAATCCACATTAAACAGGAGGTAAGGCCCATAATGTGCACATCTTGTCTGCAGAGGTTGAGATGAAGGAGAAATCTGTGGGGTGCCATCGACCAGAGATGACTTTATCTTGATGCTCAGCCACAACAACACTGGGTAATGGAAGAGTCAGATCACCTGCCAAGGAGAATATAAGCAATTTAATATAATGAAATGTGAATGATAAAAAGGGAAAAATATATACAATATTTCCGCCTTGGTGGGATACGGCCAGTGTGCTGAAAGAAGAAGATGTACAATATTTTAAAAGCATATGTGAGAAAAATCTCCGTGGGGAAGTGGAAAAGAATTCTTCCTCCGTAAGTCGTGTGTGTCATGAGAGCTGACTAAGATTCCGGGAGCAAGGGGATAGTAACCCCTTCTCCTGCATAAATTAGTAAACTTAAAAAGAAAACCTTTTTTTTAAGGCCACCCTGCCTCAGTGGGATATAGCCAGTATGTTAAAAAAAAAAAATTAGAAAAATAATGAGGGTTACTAAATGTATAATTAAGAGGGCTGAGGAAGGATACACAAGGTTTGGAAATTTAGAGAGAATAAAGCAGAGTCGGAAGGTATGTAAAAGAACATAGGAAAGCGCAAAGTGATGAGGGTAACTAAAACTTTAGGTAATTAAAGACTGGATATCAGACTGGAGGAAGGGAGTATGGAGAAAGTAAATGTGTTCAGAAGTTTTGGAGTGGACTTGTCAGCAGATGGGTCTATGAAAGATGACGTGAACCATAAAATTAATAGTATGAGAGTATAGTGGTACCAATACTCTTATATGAGTGTGAAGTATGGACTATGAAAGTTGCAGCAAGAAGTAGGCTGGAGGCAGTGGATAGGTTGTGTCTGCAGGCAATGTGTGGTGTAAATATTATGCAGAGAATTCGTAGCTTGGAGATTAGGTGTGGGGTTACTACAAGTATTCTCTAGAGGGCTGAAGAGAGGTTGTTGAGGTGGTTTGGATATTTAGAGAAGATGGAGCACAATAGGATGACTTGGAGAGCACATAAACTGTAGTGGAGGGAATGCATAATTCCATAAGTTTTCCATCAAATTTTGTACTTTTGGTGTCATTCCCATCGGGAAAAGATTTTTCTATCATTTCATAAGAAAAAATAAAAAATTTTGTTTTAAATTCTTCAACACTGAGAGCAAGTTCGCGAGCAACGAGTCTCGACAGTGATAGGGTTAAATACTTTAAAATATATCTTTAAATACATTAAATTTTAATTTTTCCTATTTTATAACTGGTTGTACTATGAAATAGTCTTTAGAAAACTTTACCTTGAAGGTCAGTGAGGACAAGTTTGTTGTCGTATCCAGCAGTAAGTAGATAATATGCCGAGGGTGAGAATCTAATGGAGCGAACATCTGAAGAGTGTGGCCTGAACGCCTGGATGCACCGTGAACCTCGCACGTCGTACAGAGAACAAACAGAGTCCTCGTGACCTGTCACCAGAAGTCTTCCGCTTGGGTCTACACACACTGATGCCACAGGAGCACCCTGTTCAAACATAATAAATTGAGTGTACAGTACAAACTTCAGAAATACAAGGCAAAATCTGCTGGTCACTTGATTCAAATACGATGGACAACGTCCATTGGTGGTGGTAGTAGCAGTAATAGTAGCAATGACATTACGGAGAACTATGATCATGTAGGTCACTCAGCGCTTAACCCTTAAATGGTCCAAACGTATATATACGTTTTTTCAACATCTGAAAGTATGTAAAAAATGTAGATCTTCATTTTTGTTTTACATTTGAAAATGTGTAAAAAAAAGTATATCTACTTTTGGAGCACTACGAATTTGAACGTCGATCTGTTTGGACCGTTTAAGGGTTAATAGCTGTAAGAAAAATACAACACAAAAAACAATGATAAAATTAACAGACAATAAAAGCAATGAAAATAAACATTCAATGAACAAATGCTATCATAACAAGTTAAAATAGCCAACAGCAAATTTCCATTGGTTACAGAATTCTTCATTACTGTTACAATTACGAGATACCAACAATAATCTACAAAAAACTGCGTAAGTATTACCTCCAGCTACTGCATTACTTTTCAACAAATCACTTGAGGAACAAACCTTGCCAGATGTTTTCAAGAGTAAGGATAACACTCATCCACAAAAGTGGTGATTCAACTGGTGTTAGGAACTACAGACCAATCTCTACACAAACCTAAGACAAGATTTGTTTGGATTTTTAACCCAGATTGTTAGCCATCCAGGATAACCCAACAAAAGTCTTCTGTGTGTCACTGAGGACTTGTTTAACATATTTCCATTGGGGTCCTACAATTTTGTTCCCCAGGATGCAACACACACCAGTCAACTAACACCCATGTACCTACTTGCTGCTAAGTGAACAGGGAGAACAGGTATAAACATACATGCCCAATGTTTCTACTCAGCCAGGGATTGAACATCAGACACTCAGTGTATGAGGGGAGAGAGTTGCCTACTGAGCCACACACTCCTTGTCAGTTTGGGTTTAACCCAAAGAAAAGTACTAATGATGCAATAATAAAAATGCTTGATGCTGTTTATTCAACATTTGAGAGAAATGAGTATTCTACTGGACTTCTTGTCAATATATGAAAAGCCTCTGATACCAATGCCCACAGCTTACTCCTACTCAAGCTATGGACTCAGAGGACACAGTTACACATATGTACTTCAAATCTTACCTCTGTAACAGGCAACAACATTTTTGGGGGGGCTTTTTTTTTTTTTTTTTTTTTTTTTTTTTTTTTTTTTTTTGTTTTTTTTTTGCAACCATATACTAGACTTCATCCAGTAATCTATTATTAACCTAGTTTGGCCCCAAGACAGCTCAATTCTGGACACCTCTTATGTTTCTGTCATATCCACATCCCTAATGCCACTGCGGGCTTCTGAATCTGTACTTTTTGCTGAGTGACACAACATTCAATAAACACAAGAGTAAATAATGAACTTAAAATGTCCACACATGGATGATTACCCAACCATTCCTGCACAAACTGCAACCCCCTCTGCTCTTCAAGAGTTTGAACTTAAGTGTGCCTACTACATACGTATATAGAACATTAAACTCCAGTGTAAACCCTCCTCTCAAATTTTTTCTTGATAGCTACAACAGAGTACTAAGGCATAAAACTCTCTTCGACATCCCTCATATCCATCTCACACTATGCAAAAATGCAATGCACATAAAAGGCCCCAAGATCTGGAATTCACTGCCTGAACCAGCAAAAGGTTCCCTGCCTGCCAATCAATTTAGGGCTATAATTAAAAATTACCTGATCTCCCAAATTTAACTATACCTGAAATCATTTAACAAGCCTGAAACTACTCAAGAAATCCAAATTAACTTAAGACCACTATATCAATTTTAACCCTTAAACTGTCCACACGTAGATCTATGTGAACGTGCGCAGTGCTCCAAACATAGGTCAACGTTTTATTTTTCATTCCTTCAAATTTAGCACCATAGGCCTGAGTCGCCTAGACATGAAAGAATGGGTTTGCACACTCAGTGTGCGCAGTATGAAAAAAATCGGGGACCACTTAGTACCTTATGGGAGCACCAGTTCAACTGAGCACCAGAAACAGACCTCTCTGGAACACTTTTCTGAGCGACAAGGGTCCAGTAACTCTCGAGCTGGTCCTAGTGGCATTAAAAAAAAAGAAGGGAAATAACCCCGGAAAAGGACTTGGTACCTGAAGTCTTTATAGGAAGGGGATTCCTCTCCCAAACAGGAATTTCTCCATCCTCTCCCTTTCTCCTGTCTTCAATACACTAAGAAGAGTCTTCAATAAAAGTAAGTGTCATGTTATTATTGTTTTATTCTTCATGTCTCATTGTTTTTTGTGTAGGTAAATGTATATTTCATGTAAAAAAAATTATTTTTTTGAACGCTGGAACGGATTAATTGGATTTACGTTATTTCTTATGGGGAAAATGAATTTGGAAATCGTCAAATTTGGCTTTAGTCACAATCTCTGGAACGGATTAATTATGATAACCGAGGGTCCACTGTACTTTATTACATGTAAACTACACAGTGTACTATACAGTGAACCTTCCCTTTTCGCTGGGCTCTGTTTTCACTCATTTCAGTTATTGCTTATTTTTGCCATAAAATTATTGGCTCCGTTTTTGTTGCTTTCCTCCGATCTCATCGGTGGTACAGTAAAAATATTGGCTCCATTTCTATTGCTTTCCTTCATTCTCGTTGGTGGTACAGTATATCTCCGAGTGTGCTGCACACACAACCCCCCACACACGCATTTTGAGGAGGCAGTGTCGCTTTTTTTCTTGGTGAGTGAACATTATCCTGCAAGGCCATGGGAAACATTTCGTTATAATTCACTGTTAGTTTGCACTTGTTTATTCTCTGTGACTGCTAAATAAGCCACCACAGGCCCAAAGAAAGCTGCTAGTGCCAGCTCATTGATAAAGAAGGTGAGAAACATAATAGAATTCAAGAAAAAACTCATAGCAAAGTGGAGGAGGAAGAGAAAGTGGAGAAAGGCCTTTTTCAGTGATTCAGTGATTCTACAATAATGTACGATGCTAAAGCACAGGAGCCCGATAAAAGGCTATAGTGCCAGCCCAGCGATAAAGGTACATTAATAGTGTACAAGTAAGTTAAGCGATTAAGTGATAGAAAAAGAATGACATGAAACTGACTCCTACAATGTTATTGGAGGTATATAGGCTACTGACAAACATACTCGCCCCCGGTGCGCCCTGCCCATCTTCCACACCCTAAACAAATGCCAGCATCATCCAAGGCGTATTAAGTGTAAATATTTCCTTATATAAAAAGCGTGTAAATATTTTCATATTTATAAATTACGTACATTTTTGTGTGAAAGTTTGTGGCTTCTGCTGCCGCCTCC